AGGGCTCTATCCTTTATATATTTTTTGACGGGATCAATCTTGAGGTCCCTGAGAATGTCATTTATCCTAATGTACCAAGAAACTTTGAAAAGTCTTCTCAGAGCCTGGCTTTGTGCAATTTCTAACTGGTGAATAGTAGTGTTTGAAGCTTTGCTAAACGCTACACAACCATACAGAAGTGACGGACGAATTATTTGGTTATATATCAGTTTCCTGTTCTTAGCATTGAGGTTTATTTATTATTTATTTTTTATTTTATATTTGACTAACTGGTCAATGTTATTTAACATAAATAAATAATACACAACTTTTAAATTAATCTTGAAAAATATATTTTATTGTTATCCATATTTCTACAATTGTCTATATTCATCTTTAGCAGACAATATAATTTATACAACTTATTTAAGGTATTATGAATAATATTGAATGGGATGGGGGCGTCACTCCACTAATATTTTTATTTCTTTGACCAAGATATCATATTTTTATAAAATCATATTTTTAATTTATATACTTTTAAACAAAACTATCCCGTAAATACACATTGCTTTTATAAAACTTAAAATTAATTATTTTTAAAATACTCATACGTCATGAAATCCTCAGTTTTTGTACTTTCTTAATTCCTACAAAAAATCGCAAAGAACTTAGGTTTTTTTTTTGTTTAAATATGAAAAATATATTTATGTAACTGAATAATATTTTTCAATTTTATTTATATTTTCACATGCAGAAATATTTACATAAAACTTGCATTTTGTTTGCAAAGAAAAGTTTTCACCAAAAGTAGGCTTTCGTAGTAATAAAATTTCGTATGACGGACCCATATGTGAAATTCTGTCAATAACTTTATTAAGCAACTAAAGGGAATATGTGTATGGTGAAAACTTTAAAGCAGAGTTATTCACATAAACTGGGTCATAAATGTTTTCCATAAATGTGAACTGAGCCTTTCATATGCGGCACTGAAGTGCATTTGGGCATGGCAACAGATCAGTTGCATAAGAAATCGAGGAGAAAAAAGTTATTGCAAGTGAACTAAATAAATTTTTTCATTTTTTATTATGACTACTATTTTTTTTTTCTATTTTTTTATTATTTTTTATTTTACCACAAATACGAAATGAAGTATAATTCTGATTGATATAAGACTTTTGCATAGAACATTTTACTGCACCAGCCTTTCATGTTTTATTTCTTTATACTCTCATATAAACAAAGTAGAACATTTTACTTTTCAAAATTAAAATTGGTTTTATGTGAAATTGTTTGCTTTTGTTTTTGAAATTTATATTCTTATTGAGAACAGAAACTATCTATAAGATACAAGATAAACGCACACTTGTTAATTTGATTATCAAATATATTTCGCATCCGATGCTGTAAGAGAATGAAAAAAAAATTATGCGCGCATATAATTTGGGTCACCAGCACGTAAATTCAAGGACAACGAACTTAAACTTATGCAAATATTTTGAAACAAACTCAAAGATACTTTTCAATTTCTCAGTAAAAGTTTTCTTCTAATAGAAAGACACAAAAATATATCTACAAGTATTTATATACATATATACATTTATTTATTTTGTATTAAGTTCTAATTATAAAATTTTTTTTCAATTAATATAATTCATTTTTTTTCAATTCATTGGAATTTTACTTTTACATTAAAAACTTTTTTTAAATAAATAAATAAAAAGTATTGTTTTGGTGTTTCCAAACCGCAAATCTCATAAAAAATTCAATCTGTAAGAATGCAATTTATACGAGGGACGTAACTACAATTTCTATTAGGTATATTAATACAAAATTCACTTTTGCGTATAAACAGAAAATCTGTTAACTATATTAATTACTATGATTCAAATAATTATAATATATTTTTTTTAATTACAATATTGTTTAATTACAATAACTAATTGTGTTCGATAAAAAATTAATAACAAGTAACCAGCTTTGTATTTCAGTTTTCTATACGTAGTTTTGTATATTTTAATTACAATTGTCAATACAGAATTAATTATAATTACTTAATGGGAAATGTTAAAACATTTTACTTTAAATTACAATAATGTGATAATTTAGTACAAAGTACAAATAATGAATATCAAAAAAACTATCAGCATTACAAACAAAAATGAAACTTCAAGACTATTTGTTATACTAACACTAAAAGACAGCAAAAATCTTATATGATCACAGATCAAAAATAAATAAATTTGATTATAAATTTATAAATTATAAAGTACAGCACAAAAGCAATAACTTTGTTTTAAATCTAAAAAAAAATTATTGAAACAGATAATCCGACAAAAATCTATATCTCATCTGCAAGACAAAAAAAACCAAAACTATTTTCTACATCAGAGTTAGCAGGAAACAGTAAATGATCCCACTAAATCAAAAAAGATTCAGAAAATAAATTTAATGTATTCAACAAAAACATAATAAAGGTACTACTTTTTTTTTATAATCCACAAAAATAATTCTTAAAGCAGACGATTCAACATATTTTGCACTACATCTAAAAAAATTCAGTGACCTAAAATAATAACGACTCGAACAACAACAACAAAATGATCATGGGTTGCTTATATACACCTAAAAAACCACAAATTATCATAAATATAATCATATTCAACTGAAAACCACAAGGATCATACTGTGGATGGTAGTTAACTAATTTTTAACAAATTTATATTAATTATTCTTAATATAGTATAATATCGAGGTGGTTCCATTAAACTGCAATTAACTTCAAATAACATTAACTTTCAAACGCGTGGCAATGCTGCGTTCATATTTAGTCTAATCAAAACTGATCATATTGTTTATAAATGTATGAAAGCATTTTGTATCTCAGTTTCTTACACTGGTCCGTACTAACCTCTATGGAATAGTGTAAAGCTATATACCAGAATTTTACATTTGAAATTTAAAACCAAAAGTAGGCTATGTTGGATTCTTCATATAATTCTGTCACGTCAGAAGCGAAACAATAGCAGTGTTGCAAAACATCATGTTTTGGAATAGTATTGACTAAAATCTACAGTAAAAAGCAGACGGCTGCTTAGATAAACACATCAAAGGGAATATGGTGTCATAAATACTCTAAATTAAACCTAAAGTAAAGCTTTTCAAGCTAAAATATGTCGCCAATGCTAAAAAATATTTGGTTTAATAGAGCGAAAGAACTACTTTTTAAAAGAAAAAAATAGCAATCAATTGTCAAAAAAAATAGCAATAACCCCAAAAACTCAAACACCCTCATATGTGGTTTCAAAACTCCGAATGTGGTCACTATCCACTCGTATTTTTGGACAGTGAGGTTTGGGATAATGTAAATATCATCGCAAAAAAAGTGCTGTGATAGTCTAGCATTTTCGTGAGATATAACTCAAAGCAACCAAGAACGAAAAGGCAAAGTTGCTCACTTTATTTTGACCAGAGATTGGCTTTCACAGTCACAAGCTGAAAAGTAGCTCAAAATAGTACATAGGCCAAGGGTTGCACTAAAAAATATCAAAGTGTTTATGTACTCAAGAAAGTGCTTCTTTGTTAGTGGATGTAGATTCTACAGATTTAATTCGCGCAGTGTACGATGCATTAGACGACCGATTAAGAGTCACAGTTTGTATTAAAGTCAGCCATATCAAAAATTTGAAATGAATTTAAATATATATATACCTATTTATACATATATATTCTTTTTTGCTGGTAATTGTTCTTTAATAGTTTTCCAGAATTTTTTTTTTTCGTTTATTCAATAAAATTCTTTTTAATGTATTATAATACAACGCACTGAAAATGTTTGGTTCAACCTACATGTTTCATGTTATATATACATATGTAAATATATATATTTTTAATACATATATTATTTAATGGTAATCACAGCCAATTCCTAGAATTCTGAAAATCAAATATCAAAACCATATTGCAGTAAAATTTTTAATGACTAATTAACTCAGCATTAAGCAAACCCTAATGCGTGTTTTATACCAGTTAAATTCTAGTCATATATACATATGTAATATAATATTTAAATTAATACTTTATACATTTATAATATACAAGCAAAAAATAAATAAAAAATAAGGAAAAAAAATATTAAAAAAATAATTAAAATAAAAAAGAAGCAAAAAATAAATAAAATAAAAAAGGATCAAAAAATATTAAAAAAATTAATATATAATTTTCTGTTAAATGAAATATTACTAGTTATGCTTAAATGTTTATAATTATTTGTAATAGTAACATTTGTATCAAATTTAGGGATTTTTAAATGGTTTATATAAAGTAATATCACTTAGTAATTAACGCTTTTGATCAATTAATGTTTAATAGTGTAGTTCATTAATTTAAGTGCTTTTAAATAAAATAAATATTTTTATATTAAATAATATTATATTATAATAATTTGAATTAAATAATATAAAAAAGAAAAATTTTGTAGTTGTAATTCACTACATTTCGAAATCTCTCCAATAAATATCTTATTTTACTTGAACTTATTCTAACTAAAACTATACATATACGCAACAAAAAAATCGAACTGACTAACCCCGTATATACGTACAAGTGCCATACAATAGTTAATTTTTTTTTTGTAAAGCAATATCAAATATCTAATGCAGTTATTTGTTTTTACATAGAAATTTCCGTTTTGACCTTCCTTTATCTTTTAATCATTGTGCTTTTGACTTTTTTCTACGAATTTCTAACATTTCTCCACAGAATGAACAAGCAATACACACAATATTCAAGAAGCTAACCCCGTTTTCATACGTAGAAATACAAAAAGCAACCACAAGAACCTAATCCTTATGTGGTGCCTTTGTATGTGTGTGTGGTGGCACCACACACATATACTATCCCTAAGGAGTTTTTAAATGAAAATATCAGAGATTTTATGTATGCATCAAGCACAGTTGTACTTTGTGCTTTGCTGCTGTGTTGGTGCAATGGGTGAACTGGTAATTTTTGATAGTACATACCGCGTATCTCCATGACATTTTTGCTGTTTCGTAGTTTGATTTTTGTGGCTTTTTGTTTTCCTTCCTCACGTTGTCTGTCTCTGTTACTGTTGATTCCTTCTAAACGGCTTAAATGTTTAATGAGTCGTCAATAACAACAATTGTACAATTGTACGATAAGCGCAGTTGAGGGAGGTATTCTTGTATAGGTTTTCCGCCTTATGAATAGCTTAAAATCAGTTTAAAAATATATTCGTTTGTCTTAAAATTATTTTTATTTTCTTATAATTGTTTTTTGTTTACAAAAGTTAGTTTTTTTTTCTTAGAATATGTAAAAATTTTTATTTTAAATGCGCACTTATAATTCGTTGCTTGTTAAGTTTTTCAATTTATTTTTTTTTTATACTTGAATATTTTTGTAGAAAAGTACAAAATAAATTATAAATTTTATTTATAAAAACTTGATTGGAGTACAACAATAATTATAAATACTTTTAGCACTTTTTAATAAAAAATAAAAAGTATTTTCTTATTTTTTTCTAATACTTTCTTTCTAGCATTAAAAGTGATTTATTTTTTTTAATTCGTTTTGTACAATGTTTTTATTTTATTTTATTTTATTCTATTCAATATTTGAACTTATTTTCGCATGACGTTCTGCTAGCGACTGATTCGCCTTACACATTAAGTTTAGGGTTGTTCTGTAGGCGAGAAAGCTTGCTTAATTTTGTTAGAATGCAAAAAACAAAAAAAAAACTTTTAATTATATTTCATTTGTGACGTAGTTTAAAGCTTTTTCGTTTAGTTACACTTCCACGCTCAAGAATTGTTGCTTGCTAACTGTTTTGTTATTGTTTTTATGTCTGTTTTTATTTTTACATTCGTACTTGTGCTGTACAATTTTTTGTGAATTTGACGCTTTTAGGCACGTGGTAACAATATGCAAAGCTCTGTGCATAAAGCTTTCCGTCTAATGCCAATATTTTAGCTTTTGCACATATTTTGTTTTAACAAGTTTTTTATTTTTATTTCTGTTTTCATTTCATATTGCGAAGCTTGTAATGTGGGTGTTTTGTTTTCGGCTTTTAAATGAGAAGAACGAAAAGTTGCTCATACGTCACACAGCTTCAATCGTAGTGATCAAGGTTATTTATATTACACAGTTCAATACGAATTTCAGTGTAAATAAAAAGCAACAAAAAAAAACTCAATTAATTGAAATGTTCTTATAGAAATTAGTTTTTTATGACAAAAACTTTTAACATGTTTTGCTTTTTGTTTCTATTTGTGTTCACATTTTTGCTGCACTTGATATTCTTGCTCTTGCATTGTTATTGTTGTTTTTGTTGTTTTCATTGTTGTTTCTGTTGTTGTTTTTGTTGTTGTTTTTATTGTTATGTTTAATGTTTTTTTTTTATATTTCAGTTTTTTTTTCTTTTTTTTAATTAATTCTTATTAAAGCTTTTACATTTCACAATATTATTAAACCTTAGGTCATGACCTTGTTCCCGTTGCATATAAATCGTTCCGTCGACAAATACGGAAAGCAAATTAATTTTTATTGATTTGTAAGCCAAAAATATTTTTAGGGCGACTTTCTGTCTTGCCACTGACATTCACTGGAAGCTTAAGCCATTCTATCTGTGCCAATGATATGCGCAAAATTATATCTCAAACAAAAAACAGTGGTGGCGAAAATAATGTCTATATTATTTTTTTTAAACAAAAAATTTCAATGTCAACGTCAACAAAATATGGCGTTGACTCATTTTTCTTCTCATTCAAGCAATTTTAAGATAATTTTATTTTTTACAATAAATGAACATGAACGAAATTGATAAATTATTACAATAAAATAATAATTTGTGTACATTTTCTTTATAGTTATTAGTTTTTGAATCCAATTAAAAAAAATTGTTGAAAAGTAATATATTCGGTTTAGTAATTACAATTATTTTAAGAATGTACGTAAATCTGTTACGAAATTATATTGCAGTATAAAATCCAGTTAACAACTGCTACGAAACTTTTAAGAAATGAAAAAGACCTCTTTAATGAGTAGTCTCAGTAGAACCTGCTGACTAAGTCGCTAGGTTTGAGTCCTGGTACTTCGAAAAGGTAGTTTCTAGCATGATTAATCTATGTTGAGTAAAGTAGATGTGAAACACTTTTCTCATACCTTCTGCTCAAAAAATATTCGGATTTTGTAAATAAAACACACAAATTTAAATTTTATTCCAAATTTATTTTATCTCCTTCAAAATATGCTTCTTCTAAAGCGATACACATATGCCAACGCTTAACCCAATCTTCCATACACTTTTCGTAGGCCTGGCTTTAAGTTCCTTCAGCGAATTCTCTTTTACCGATTTAATCGACTCAAAACGGTTACCACGAAGGGGCAATTTGAGTTTCGGGAACAGGAAAAGGTCACACTGTTCCAGATCTGGCGAATATGGTGCCTGAGCGATGACAATGGTGCCGTGTTTGGTCAAAAAATCGCGTACAACAAGAATTTTCCATAGTAAAAATCGCTAAATGCATTTGAGGTAGTCTCACATTACCAGCTGTTGTAAACAAACTAATTGACAGATGGGGCTCAAATTTGTACCTTATGTCAAGAAAGGGAGTACCAACATAACAAAAAAAATTTTGAAAAAGGTCTATTTCTTAAGGAGTAGTTAACAAACAACAAAATCCGAATACTTTTTGAGCAGAAGGTAAAATGATGATGCTAAAATGATTTTTTTAACGTTTCAGAGAAGCCACTATAAAACTAATATCACTAAAACATGATATAGACGATACAAACCAAGTATGCCGTGGCTACCAAATCGCACAGTGTATATTCAAGTATGTATACCAAATTTCGGTCTGCAGACATGTATGCGATAATATTACACCTTGTTTCAAATTATATGCTTTACACATCGATTGATTTGCAAATGTGTGGCAATGCCACTAATAAAAAATTCGCATCAATTTTAAAAAGTGGCAACTTTCATATGAATAATATGAATAATTACTTATTGCTTACAGCTGTTTTAGTGATGTTATATGCTATATTTTTCAAATAAGGGGCTATAACGGCAAAAATTTAACTTGATAAGTCCTATCTGGAATTCGTTCCATGGAGAAAAATTATAGAAAACTGATTTATTTACTAATGATACGAAAGGCGATAGTATCCCAAAAGAGACATCAGAAAACAACAAAGAGTGAACTGAAGTTGCAGAAGATAACCGACACCCTAAAAATTTATAAAAAATTTATCGGCTTTATTTTACATGAACATTTGTCTCTGAAATAGTTCTTTTATAGACGGATACAAAGTTTGTTGATTGTTGACCAGGAACAACAACGTGTCGATAATTCTGAGAGCTGTTTACCATTATTGATATGACATAAAAACAAATTTTGGATCGGCATGTAGCAACTGAGTGGACAACTGGCGAAGTTATGGCGTCCATATTTTAGGATGCGCATGCAATACGATGAATAAAAAAAACTGTTCCAACAAGACAATGTACCGTCCACAAGTGGTTGACTACCATGGGCAAATTGAACATACTCTACTTCGAATTGCTTCCGTTTTCACAGTATACCTGGCGTATACTTCAAAGATTACTACCTATAGCAGACCTTAAAAAAATGCAATTTGTAACAAATTTGTTCCGAAGAAAATATCATCGCCAAAATGGAGACATATTTTAAAACCATATTTTAATGATGTATCAATCTACAACAGAAGGATAACAGAATAAAGGACGCTAGAATGATTGTATAGTCTTTTAGTAGACTACAGTGGTCATTTTCTTTTGTAAGCACACATATGAAACAACAACCATGCTGGCTTACATAGTCCAATTTTTTTAAAACTGCTTAATAAGCAGCTCACATCACATGGTTGCCAAGACTAATAATTAGTCTATTGTGAACGCTTTTTGGACCCAAAAACGAGAGGTTGGAAGCCTTATAAATATAGCTAGATGCAGAAAGCAATACGCAAAAACTGTTAAAAATTTGTAATTGTGTTTATTAAAAGCTAATCAAACCATATAATATTATGCTATGCTATTATGTTATAATTATTATTATGTTATAATTAATCAATATAGTATCACCAACATTCGAAATCGAATTGGCAAATAAAAAAGAAGAAGAACACTTTTTGGAGTACGCACAAAATTTCCATCAAAAGCAGTGCTTATTTTATGTTATTCTTTTGCAACATTCTTACAAAAAAATAGGCCTAATGTTAAATAATTTCGAATATTGCCAAAAAGTTGTTTTATTGGTTATCTTACAGACTCGTCAGCCAATGTGTTATGGTCCGTTTTATATAATATACCCGTAAAAACAATGAAATAGTCTATTCAAATATTTTACACTGCGAATATTTAAAGAAAGTTTTTAATTTTCTCCTTAGTCCTTTTTAGGGATTATGAGAATTTATATTCTAGAAAAAATAAGTTGAAATATTTAACACATTTCGGGCAATATAACATAGATGTACCGCTAAATGTGTATATTAAAGATAATATTTATATTGAAGTAGAATATTTATGAATGCAATTATTCCACACTAACAAAAATGCAACTGCAAGATTACTGCAGCAAAACAGAAAATAGATAAGGAATTACATCTAAATTGAAACAACGAATAATGGGAACGATTTACAAGGACAAACCACAAGTGATGGTTCCATGCTCTACAATTCTGAGAAGTGTAAAAAGTGCTGTGGAAAAATTGTAATTATTTTTTAAAGAAATAAGCGTGGAAAGATATTAATTTTCCAACTTAACGTTAGTTATTTTTCACCATTGTAAGCATTTGAAGTTGTGGTTGTGAATTAGTGAAATAAATTCAATTCTTCCCTTTCTCTAATAAAATTTATACGCGTTGCTAAGATAAATGCTAGCTACTTTAGTACTTCAGTACTGAGGGGGATTGATATAATGGCATTCTCAGTGCAATCATTATTTGTGTATAATTTAATAAAATCATGAAATGGAATCCCTCTTAAGCATAAGTTATACATACACATACCTCTTGAAATGCATTCCATTTTCTTATATAAATTTGCTAAACAAACAGATAATGCCAATATTTTCACTCAAGAACAATTTCATTTTTAAATTAATAAAATTACAATTTTAGTAAAATCAAAATAGAAAATAATTAAATTAATGTTTATACAATCCGGCTGGGTCTATTTTTGGTTTAGACCTTTCTACATAACCAGAAAGTAGTATCTTTAACAAGGCGATAGCACGACCAGGATTTAAACTCTTTGGGCAAGTATTGGTGCAGTTATAAATAGTGTGACAGCGATAAATACTGAAAGCATCTCTTAAACGATCCAAACGTTCTGCAGTCGCTTCATCACGCGAATCAATCACCCAACGATATGCTTGTAGGAGAACAGCAGGTCCAAGATATTTGTCACCAGTCCACCAATAGGACGGGCAAGCAGTCTGACAGCACGCACATAATATACACTCGTAAAGGCCATCCAGAAGAGCGCGGTCATCTACATGCTGCAATAATTGTTTACGTTCTTTTATTTCGGCCTGCTCGTTCTTACGTTGCAACCACGGTTGTATGGAACGGTATTGATAATAAAAATGGCTTAAGTCTGGTACAAGATCACGTATAACATACATATGAGGTAAAGGATAAATTTTGATTGGTTTGGTAGTACGTTCGATTTTTGTAACGCAGGAAAGTGTATTAATACCACCAATATTCATAGCACACGAGCCGCAAATTCCCTCGCGGCACGAGCGGCGAAATGATAACGTTTGATCCATTTCATTTTTGATCTTAATTAGAGCATCTAACATCATTGGACCGCATTGACTTAAATCAATTGTATAATTCTGCATGGAAGGTTTATCACCTGGTTTCCATCTGTAAATTTGAAACTGTTTCATTATTGAAGTTTTTGTAACTTTTGCAGGTGGTGCTTTTTTTCCACCGCCAGCTGGAGCTTTTCCACCGCCTGCTGGAGGTTTTGCAGCACCTTTTGCAGGAGGCTTTCCACCAGCGCCGGCAGCAGGTGGTTTTCCGCCACCAGCAGGAGGTTTTCCACCACCAGCAGGAGGTTTTGCAGCGCCAGCAGGAGGTTTTCCGCCATCAGCAGGTTTACCTCCACCAGCGGGAGGTTTTCCACCGCCTGCTGGTGGTGGCGTTTTAGCGGGTGGGGTAGCCAAATCACGTGTTGGTAATAGTTGCCCTCCAGCTTTATATGATTTTCGATTAGCTTTTTGAGCTGCAGATATTGGTGACTGTTTTGGACTTGATAATTCTTTCTTCGCAATTTTTACAGAAGCATCCCCTATTGCTTTATCAAAGGGGAAAGTACCTAAAGAAAATTTTTGGTTTTCAAAGTTTTGTGTTCCTTGTTCAGTGGCTTCTTTAAAATCAATAGCTTGTGGTTCAGCAGAAAAAGTTGCATTTCCAGCACTAACGTCTAATGAAGTTTGATGTGCATCTGTGTTAAACAAGCTATGTTCATACACAGTTACGCTTATGCTTAACGGAGTTTCCAACATATTTTCAGAACTTTTTTCAACTAATTCAGTTGTAACAGATGGATCATTGACCTTTGCAGACATCGATAAAGTGTATGGATAAGAAAATTCATTATATGTAACTGCACCTCTCTCAATCTCTTCAGTAGACAAGAATAAAGTAGATTGATCAACTTGTACGTTTTCCATAGTTAAATCTTTTCCAAATTTGTCATTAGACATCGATAAAGTGGATGCTGGAATAACTTGTATTCTTTCTTTCAAATTAGAAACATCGGTAGTTCCAAACTCTGATCCTTCTACGATTTTTATTTCTGATATTAAACGTGCATGACCTGAAGGAACTTGAACTGTAACCATCGCATCTTCTGTTAAAAAAAAACTAATTAATTTGAATCCAATTTTTTTTTTTTACATTACCTGAATCAGTGTTATCTTTCATCTGTTTCTCATTTTCCACTAAATCTACACCAAAACAAGTCGATTTTTAACAGCATTAATAAAAGTAAAAAAAAAAACAAATAGCAAATAGGTAGAAATTATCTAATATACCTTCAATATTATTATTTAGCTTAGGGAATTGATCTAGTGTGTTAGTAGAATCGCCTTCCAAAGATTTTTCAGCATTTGAAACTTTTAATTCATTTAACATATTTTTTGCAACCTCAACAGAGATAAATTTAGGTATAGGATCAAACGCCCCGTCACTAGTTGGTTGAAACTCTATAAAAAAGCGCATTGTTAATATATCAATGGCTTCATATCACTTAGGCAATGAAAGCAGGCTAATACAATATGTTCTATTCTAAAATCAGTGGCCTATAGTAAACATTTGAAAATACCTGTATTTTCCTGTGGTTCGCTTTCATAATTCTTCATTAACGATTTATTCAAAGTTGTATCAAGTACATATTGATTTGTAGGCATGGAACCTGGCACTACAGCCAATTCTGACTTATGCACCAATGTAGAGACTCTTTTTTCAGGGTTTTTTACATTTACTCCTGCTTGCCGAGTTTGCGTGACTTTGTCGTCAATCTTGCTCTTCGAGCTAGCACACCTAATACAGAACCGATCTAATGGTAATTAAGAAAATACGTTTTTTAAAGGTTTAATAGGCTTTTTATACAACAATATGAATATGCATTAATACCGAATCCAAGGTTTTGTACTTCATAATCTTTCTTCACACCAAAAGAACGAATGCATTTACAGATTGCATTTCTGCAACAGCGACCAATACTGGCCATCTTAAATATTTATTGTTAAATATTTATTCTTTGAATTTAGTATAAATGTTCATTAAATGTTAAAGCGAAATAAACACAATTTTTTCTAAGCAAATTTTAAATAGTGAATTATTTTATATTTTCTTGTAAAAGAAAATTTGATTAATCTTAGATTTGAAATTTTACTTCAAATTACAAAAGGCAATGAATACATAATCGATTTCGGATATTTAAATTTGAAATAATTGTAAAGTAGTTGTAAATTATTAGAATTGAAATACTCACGTACTATATCATGTGATATCATAATCATTTACATTATATCATGTAAACTTTTACTATTAATATACTATAGATAACTCACTATTAAAAAAGTCCAACAGTTTACTATTCATTTCTTTGCATATATCAATGTGCCTCCTACTGATTTATAGCTCGGTCTTATTGAAGTGGCTAGTTTGCTTTACCACAACCGACTTTAGAATTAAACTCTTATTTCTCTCTATTCTGCACAAACTTTCTTCTATCCCATGTATTCGTCTTATGACAGTTTTATGTTTTAGGCTTTATAGGTCCCACGAATTATAGCAACCATCAAAAAAAAAAGTTTTATAATTTTTGGTTGGTTGGTTGCAGTAGCACCTCAGAAGATAACTTTCCAATGACCTCAATTAGCGATTTCTAGCGTTTTGCTATCACATTCCCAGCAGCAACCTTAAGATAGAAAAAGACACACTAAATCCATTCCATCGAATTTAGATAATTTAATAAGTCTTTTATCCTTACCGATTAAAACCGAAGAAGACAATTTGCAAAAAAGTATTTCACTAAAAACCTATTTCTTCTAAACGCTATAGCCAGACATTCACAGCGAAAATGTTTAATTGATTATTTTCCACGTAAATTATCAGAACTTCTGCAATTAGTATTAAAAGGAATGTTCAGTTTCTCTGCATGGGTTCTACACGGTATTCACACGGTCCCATTTGATGAGTTTTCCAGATCTAATCTTGTTAACCATGTTAACTGGAAAGTTACACATAACTTAAGTATTTTCCATTTTATATTGGAAAAGTAGAAAGAAAGTAGAAATTAGAAAGTAGAGTTAAGTGTGTCTCTAAGGAATGTCTAGGGAAACATAAACCGGTACCTCTAGGAATACTTTTAGGAAAGCATCAAGGCGGACTAAACCGTTTGCTTTCTCATCGTTTTCACAATTTTTAAAAAGGTTTTTTTTTTCAATATATATCATATTACCAACATACGCCATGCTATGCATATGTTATTAATATGATATATATAAGCTATGTATAGGTCGCTCCTTCAGGATGTGTAGGTCGAGATCGCTTCTTCGAAAATTTTTTACTATGTTAATAATGTCTCTCGTTTCTAGGTACATAAGAGACGGTTCCTCTCAATTTATATAAATATGAATGAAATATAAAAAAATTATAAAATACTTTTGTTATTGTTTATTATTTCTATTTTATACTCAGCGAAAAAATATTTATACATGAGAAAATGATTCGGCATTTTGTGTTCTTATTCGATGGGAATTTTGAGAAAGAAATAATAATTTCAAAGACACTGCTCTTTCAGCATCAATCCTTCATCAGTCGGCAGTTTTAGCATTATCTTGAATAAATGCTAGTGTATGTATTTTTTTTGGATTTTTTTTATTGACATCCGTGGTAGATTTCTGTTGAGCAGTAGATTTCTGTTGAGTAGGCGATTGCTCAGTCTTGTGAGCAGGTACAGGTAATGGTGTCCAGCCACCATTTGGTCCAAATGATTTTGTCTTCTTGTTTTGATTTACTTTTGCTGTATTTTCAACAGCTAGCTGCAAGGCTGACTTCATTTGTAATTCTTTTATTGATACTGGTGTTTTGCTTTCTGTTTCCTTCGCGGGATCATTGACTATTTTTACTGATTTCACTTCTTGTTTTGTAGTAGAAGTTAATTCCGATCCGTCATTTTTATTTAATTTCCTTGTTGTACTGCTTAATCTATCTGAAGCCTTCTTTTCAGGATCAATACTTCCATATGAGGCTTTTATGGGATTGTTTTGATTTTTTGAAGATAATTGGTTTTTTGGCTCCATTAAGGACTTTGCTTTATTTGGGGCAAATAATGATCTAGACCGCCTGAAGTTTATATCAGATTCTGGCATTGATTTAATTAAAGTTTTAGCCTTGCTGACATCTTCAGATGAAGGATCTGTAGGTGCTTGCTTAATATGAGTTGATATCTTAGTAGATCCCGATTTCCCGAATTCTGGTGTACTCGACAAACCAGGAACATGTATTTTCACTTTAGCTTTTCTGTCTGAAGCTTCCTGTTTTTCGAAATGTAAGGCTTTAGCTGTTTTAGCTAATTGCGAAGTAGCTGTTGGAGTACGGTATGGTGAAAAGTCCTCTTCACGACGTGGTACTCGTGGAGAACTTTCAGCTTTTTCAATTGCAGTCAATCGTTTCTGTGCTTTTATCATTTCTTTTGTTTTTATAGATAAAGCGGTAGAAGCAGACATAGTTTTTGAGTCTATATCTGATTTATCTGCCGACTTTGAAACATTTTTAGTATTTTGGTTTTCCGTTTTTCTTCTACGCACTTCTGTAGAAGTTTTAGTAGGTTTTGGAACTTCAGAGCGCCCGAAAGAAGTTACGGAGTTTTTAAACTGTACGTTTCTATTCAAAGCTAATTTTGATGCTTCCCAGTTAACATGACTATCAGCGTTTCTTCTATTTATATTAGCAGAAGATTTCGTTTGATTAATTTTCGACTCATCAGACTTTATAAAGGAAGTTTTGGAACCTTTGTAAATTGTTTTATTGCTAGTTCCAGAGTTGGTCAAATCAGTGGAAATCGGCTTTTCATTTTTTTTTGTTTGCAATTCTTTAGAAGATTTTCTTTGGTCAACATTTTGAATTTCAGGGTTTTTAGGCATTACTTTGTTTTTAGAAACTAACTTAGTTGGAAATTTATTATTATTATGCTTAGATGCTTTATGACTCCATAAAGCATCGGTTTCGGAAACTTTATAAGGTATTTTACCAGCCGAAGCTGTTTTCGAATTGTCACTGTGAATTGGCAGTTCAATCTTTTTATCATTTCGTAGTTTTGTAGAAGATTTAATGTCCTTATGCTGTGTATTGGTCTTTGATGATAATTTGGAAGTGCTCTTTGAAATAGGCAGTTTTGTAAAAGAAGCTTTCATTTGATTATACTTTGAAACTACTGACCTGACTATTGAAGATGTAGAAGCTTTAGGTGTTATTTTATTCAAAGATCTGGATTTAGATTTTTCATGGACGTTTAGTTTATCAACCTTTTCTTCATTTGCTTTGGGGTAAACAAATTTCATTTCATTATGCTTTATATCTAGAGGACTCACTTTGATAGATGAAACTTTGATTTGTTTCTCTAATGATGAGTTATTTAAAACTGGTTCACTCTTCAACAGAACAGGGGAATGGCCCTCCTTACTTAAATTATTTTCTGTGCTCATTTTGCTTTCAGATACCTCCTGGTGAGAAACAGACGGAATCCTCGAATGTTCGGGCAATGCATCGGTTCTAGATTTAGAGCAGGTTTCAGTATGTAAAATTGCATCAATTTCCATTAAAATTTGGTTTGCAGTTCTTTTAAACTCTTCTATCTCTTTAGTTTCCTTATCACGGTCTTCGATATCTTGATTCGATTGGATTATTAGTTGCGATCCTTTCAAATTCTCTTTTTCCGACAGAAAGGAGTTAGTGTTGACTTCTTCATTTTTTACAGGCAAGGTAGAAGCTGCTACTTCTAATGGTTTTTTTGTAGGAAGAGTTTCTGCGGGTTTGGGTAGTACAGATTCAGCATACTTCATTCTTGAAGGATCAACTAGTTTTGTTTCTTTAGATGAAAATGAGGTAGTTTTAGAATGATTTGTTGGCGGAGAACTTGAGTTTTCTGTATTGCCAGAGTCCAGTTCCGAAACAAGCTGTGATGTAGACACAACATATTTTTTCAATTTTTCTTCTATGTTATTAGATGTATTGGTAGAAACATTTGTTTTTGAGGAGATCGGATTCACTACCGCTGGTCGCTTTATACTTAAGAAGTCCTTTGAACTGTCTGATTTTGATGTCACATTTTCATTTTTCACTTTGATTTGATTTTGATTAAAGTTTTCATTAGTTTTCCACGGAGTTCTGCTTAACAAACTATCTCGACAAATTGCTTTGTCACAAGTAGATACTTTTATAGGATTTTCAATACCCAGTTTGTCATTTAAATGAGTTAGAGATTTTTTTAATGAAGAAGTTTCCTTAGAAGCCACAGACGACGTGTTGTTTATCTGAATTTTTTTTTCAGCTGAAGGTTCGGAATTCTGCGATGTACCTGACATAACCTTCTTTGAAAAAAACTGAAAACATTTATCTACAATTTCTTCAGTCACAGTTTTAGTGTTCTTTTTGCTGTCAATATACTTATTCGTGTTTTGGATTGGTGCAGTAAGCTTAGGAACTAAAGACATTTTCAATTTTTTATCCGCGATAGATTGCCCTTCACCTTGGGAAGAAGTGTTTCCTTTTACAGATGGTTTCACTGTCTTCTCTAGTGGGTTTGAAATACTAGTTGACAAATTCTCTTCCTTTTCAATTGGTTTTGAAGGTGTAGTATCACATAAGGGCTGCAATTTTTCTTTTGTTGATGTCTGCATTTTTATTTGGATTTCACTATGCGTCTTCAAATTTGTTTTCGATTTAACAAGATCTAAACTTGTTCGAAGATCTTTGACTTTCATGCTTACCGATTTCTCTATGTATTTAATAGGATTATATGTTGGTGTCTCTGGTCTTTGGATTACTTCCTCTGGAGTCTTAGATTTATGTCTATTTGTTCGTGGAATAAATTTAAACCATTTAAATTCATGTTGCACCTTTGTATCACTTTTATTTTCAAATGTTTTATTTGGTTTAGCTTGAATTTGCATTTTAGAAGTACTAACTGGCTTTGGTTGTAACTTATGATGGTTTCTTTCTGTATTCCTATTTCTATCAACTTCCCTTGCTTCGTCAAGTTTTCGTGACGTACTTTGAGCATTTGTCAATAACAGTTCTTTCCTTACCCTCGGTATTTCAGTGTTTTTTTGCGTGAGTAGTTCAGCTGTTTTCTGGCTTTTAGAATTTTCAGTAGTGTTTTTTTTTTGATTAGTATCCAAAGTTGAAGTCACTGAATTCCCTTTCAATGATGAAGAGTCAGATCTACTTTTTAAACTTATGTCAGTTGATTTTACTTGAATACTGCTAGGTGCTTCCATAATTTGAATAATATTATCCGGATTTTCCATTTGATTCTCATTCAAAGTAGGATTTTTCTTTTGATTAGTATCCAAAGTTGGAGTCACTGAATTCCCTTTCAATGATGAAGAGTCAGGTCTACTTTTTAAACTTATGCCAGTTGATTTTACTTGAAGACTGCTAGGTGCTTCCATTATTTGAACAATATTATCCGGATTTTCTATTTTATTCTCATTCAAAGTAGAAATTTCTGGTTTTATGGGATTCATTTTTAATGCCGCATACTTAGGCGTACTTTCTAAACCTATTTCAGTTGTACTGGCTGTTTGACTTTGTAGTGCACCTATAATTTGAATTATATCATCTGGGTTTTCCATCTGATCTGCAACCAAAGACGAAATTACTGGCTTCATAGTACTCATTTTTAATATGGGAGTGTTAGATGCATTGTTTAAACTTATATCCATCGTATTGTGTGGTTGAATTGTTAGTGGTTGCATAATTTGAATAATGTCATCAGGATTCTCCATCTGATCCTTACGAAAAGTTGGAATTACTGGTCTAATAGGATTTATGTCTAATATCGGAAAACAAGGCACATTCTTTAAACTTGTAACAGTTGTATGGACAGGTTGTTTGGTCGGTGCCTCCATAATTTGAATAATATCATCTGGATTTTCCATCTTATCAGTGCCTAAAGCTGGAATTACTGGTCTTACAGCATTATCTTTTAACATTGTAGAATTTGAAGTATCTATTAAATTTGTATCGATAGTGTTAGATAATAATTTTTTCGGCACTGCCAGGAATTTGACTTTTGATCCCGAAGAGGGCTTAGGCGCACCCTTTGAGCATCCACTTTTTGATCCACTTTTTGATTCACTTTTTGATCCACTTTTTGATCCACTTTTACTATCACCTGGATCTACCATGGAACCTTCTTTCATTGGAATTCTGCATTTATTTCCACCATCTTTTGCTTTATTGGTTTTATTTCCACATTCAAGTCCTAAAAGCTTTACACACGGATCTTCCATGCATTTTTTGCTTTCTGGTCGCTTATTTGCTTTTGTTTTTCCACATGTGTTAGGTTTCTTATCAGCAGCAGAAGGCTCAGCATTGACTAATCTACCAGTGCTCATTGGTATTTTACATTTTGTACCTTCCACTGACTTTTTATCACCTTCGGCTTCTTTTTCACAGCTTGATGAAGTTTCCTTTTTTGGTCCACAGTCTGATTTCTTGGATTCTGTTTTTTTTTCACAGCTTGATGAAGTTTCCTTCTTTGGTGCACAGGCTGATTTTGTTGGAGCTTCCTTCTTTGATGCACAAGCTGACTTTTTGTCAGAGCTTTGTGGAGTTTTCTTCTTTGGTGCACAGCCTGATTTTTTTTCGGAGCTTGATGCAGTTTTCTTCTTTGGTGCACAGCCTTCCTTCTTTGTTGAACTGGTTGGTTTCTTGGATTCTTGTGTAATTTCACAGCTTATTGGAGGTGTCTTCGTAGATACACAGGCTGGTTTTTTATCGAAGCATATTGAAGATTTTTTTTCGGAGCTTGGTGGAGTTTCCTTTTTGGATGCACAGTCTGATTTTGTTGGAGTTTCCTTCTTTGATGCACAGGCTGATTTTGTTGGAGTGTCCTTCTTTGATGCACAGGCTGATTTTTTTTCAGAGCTTGATGCAGTTTTCTTCTTTGGTGCACAGCCTGCTTTTTTTTCGGAGCTTGGTGGAGTTTCCTTCTTTGATGCACAGGTTGATTTCTTGGATTCTGTTTTTGATGGAGTTGCCTTCTTTGATGCACAGGCTGATTTTGTTGGAGTGTCCTTCTTTGATGCACAGGCTGATTTTTTTTCAGAGCTTGATGCAGTTTTCTTCTTTGGTGCACAGCCTGCTTTTTTTTCAGAGCTTGGTGGAGTTTCCTTCTTTGATGCACAGGATGATTTTTTGGATTCTGGTTTCTTTTCACAGCTTGATGTGCTTTTTGAACCCGTGCTCGTCGGGGGTTTGCATGGGTCAGACGGTACTTTTGATGACCATGTCACAATCGATTGTGCTAAGCGGCATGGTTCTGTAGGTACAATAAGTGTATCTTCACATGTTGATTTGCTAACTGGTGGTTTTGGAACAAACTTAGGGCACTTATTACCTTTTTCATGCGGTCCTATATTAGTGGTATTTACTGAAGAAATGTTTACATCAGGTGGTTTCTTTGGAGGTGAAGAACCAGATTTGTCTGCTCCGGCTGCCATACTCATAGGCGGTAAAGAGTTTTGCATTTTAGCTGTCGCTTCTAACATACTCTCTGAATATGTATCCATAGAAGAAATATGGTGTTGTATATCTACTGCTAGTATCAAACTTTTTGTTACTATTTTATTTTGACACACAGGTAAGAAGCTCTGCTTAATAGTTGTCGCTTCTAATGCACTCTGTGAAGATGTTTCCATAGGAGAAGCAGGGTTTTGTACATTAACTATCGGTGTTAAATTGTTTGGTATTGGTTGAGTTTGAGATGTAGCCTCAGAATTATTTGCTACCACTACAATGGTATTTGTACATGCACTACCTACCTGTGTTCCTTCATTAATACTTTTGTTTGTGCCTGTTTCAGATGGATTTCTAGGCGGCAAGGTGTCTGTACCAAGCTTTGCCATCCCCAACTTGGACGGAGGTGAATGTCCAATTTTTAATCCTAACGCTGGTTGCGCTACTGCACCTCGTACATCATATATATCGGATTGTATTGGTGTATAACGTCTGATTTGCTGTGCTGAGACATCATTAGAGCTCATAGGATTTGTTGGATTTGTAGAGTTCGTACCAATAGCATTTGATTGTAATCCATTTGTAAACCTATTGACAATTTCTGTTCTCGAAGATATTGCAGCAAGTCGTTTTGTTAAGAGACTTCTTAAAATGCGACTGCTTCGAAGAATAGCAGCCATACTTCGCAGGAAATTTGGAATGGATTATAATTTTATCATAATAAGATTTAGTAAATATATTTGCGAAAGACTAAAAAATATATTATAAAAAAATTTATTCTTTTTGATAATTTCAACATAACACATTCAATAAAATATCTAAAAATAAATTGAAATTGATTGCAACGATTTCTTTAAGAATTTTTTAAAACTTCTATATATAAATTTTCAAACTTTCAAGGCTGTTTCTGTAATAATAAGCAAACCTAATAAAACTTAAGTCCACCTCAGGACGCACAGAAAGATATGCTGATCTACGGTCTGTCATCAGTTAGAAAATAAATAAATGGCAATGATTCTAGTACCTTCTGGTCAAAAAATACTCAGATTTTGTAAATAAAACACACAAATTTAAATTTTATTCCAAATTTATTTTATCTCCTTCAAAATATGCTTCTTCTGAAGTGATACATATATGCTCACGCTTAACCCAATCTTCCATATACTTTTCGTAGGCCTATGAAGGTATGGCTTTCAGTTTCTTCGGCGAATTCTTTTTTACCGATTCAATCGACTCTAAACGCTTACCGCGAAGGGGCAATTTGAGTTTCGGGAACAGGAAAAAGTTGCACGGATCCAAATCTGGCGAAATGGTGCCTGAACGACGACAGTTGTGCCGTGTTTAGTCAAAAAATCGCGTACAACAAGAATTTTCCATAGTAAAAATCGCTAAATGCACTTGAGGTGGTCTCACATTAACAGCTGCTGTAAACAAATTAATTGACAGATGGCGCTCAAATTTGTACCATAGGTCAAGAAAGGGTGTACCTTTGAAAAAGCTGTATTACTTAAGAAGTAGTTAACAAACAACGAATACTTTCTGAGCAGAAGGTATAGTTAAAGTTTAGTGTGGGGTTGGGATAAGCCCCCCAGCACCAAAAGAGTAAAAGTGCGCAATAGCACTAACTCAAATCACAACCACAACAACAACAACAACAACAGCAACAACGCCAATAAACAATAAATAAATAATTAACAAAGAAATTAACATATAACATGAAGAAGTACTTTTCCTAAAAATATGTAAACGCTTCCAATGGAAATCAACGAAAAAGAGCAAAACACTAAATCACGAGAAATGTTCGCTACTGCAGCGCGCATGCAAATGGGATTAGTTACGCATCCATCACGTCTCTCCGATCTCTGATAGCGTCTGACATATAAACGAAGAATTCTTACAAATTAACAAGCAATTTCGTTGAATAAAAAATTTCGTTTCAACCAATGGCAATGACAAAATAAAATGTTCTTATTTTTATATTTAAAGCGATTAAATGCAAATGCAACCAACAGACAATTTTCCATGAAATCGCATTCATTGATCTTGAAAATGGGTGATTTGATGCAACTGTTCTTATGCGACCCGGTACCGGTGCAGGCTGCTTGTTGCATGCACACGTGACAAGTTTGTTCTAAAAATATTCGTTTGAAGAACTGCCAGTGAAGTTAGAAGAGTAAACAATTAAATTGGGGACGATAATTTGTATTTGATTTCTACGTAATTTATTTTGTAGAAATTTGTACGAGAACGAAGGAATGTGCTAGTCTTTTAAAACTAACAGGCACAACATAATGGAATATTTTAAGATAGAAATCTTCAATTTTCTAATTAGCGTATTTTTAGGAGTATTGAATCTCATATATTAAGTATTATTAGGTGAAGTTACCAACAAAATATTAACGAACAAATATAAAATAACATTATATATTTTAGTCTATATTTCAATCCCTTATTTACTGTTTTTACCTTAAAATTTATCATCTTTGACTAAAATAGTTTTCCAATCTGATTGCACTATCTTAATTAACACATTTTTGCAATCAATCCAATAATTATATCACAATGTGTTATAATAATTGTTAACAATAGTTACAAAATTATACGCCTTTCGTTAAAATCGGAAAGTATGATAATTAGATTATTAGCGGCTTATAAAATAGGCTGTGTTGCTTACTATCATTTTTTTTCAAAACGTACTGAAATTGGAGTAATTTGCTCCTACAAGGTGCAAATTCTGTAATTTATTACTAAACAACGCTGCTTTGCCTTAGTGCCGAGGCACAAATACGCCGGCTCTCATGCCGGAATTTGAACCTACATAGTTTTATTTCTCTCAATCTCAATTTTATTAATTGCATTGAAAATAACAACAATTTTACTTATGCCGGACTCGAGATACTCAACATAACGTGGCCCTTAGAACATCACTTCTCGAGATATACAATATTAATCTAGCCTTACATAAGCTACCTCATAGCGCCCGATATATCAATATTAATTGACATGAGTTTGCTATTTTGTTATTAAATTGTAATTTACATATACCAAAAATTTTGCATTTGGACATCAGTAACTAAATGCGATATTAACAAAATGCTACTTAATGATACAAATCCGTTATAATAGTTCAATTTATTTCAGTAACTTAGTTAATAAAAGTTGGCTTCGTAACGATAACTTAGTCTAAAACCTTTTCTATACTGCAAATGCCAAAATTTTATTTATTAATCAAATTATAGGAACAAAATGAACAACTCCTTTTTTTCTCATAGTGTAGCACTCCGTAAATATTTTAACTGAACATTTATATACCATATCCAAGAAATGGATGTCACAAAGCCTGTCTTGACAAGCTCATCTGCGCTACAGTTGCCTGAGATGTATTTGTGCCCGTGTAAGCTATTGTTTGACTGTTAAGACTACCTAAAAGAAACTAGCCTAAACATATTATGATAATATTTCTAATCAATCATGTATACAGTGTCAGTGTCCTGCTTACATTTGTACCTGGACACAGATACATTTCACTTGAGCCCAAATCCTAATGTGCAGTCAGTGTACTGCTTACATTTGTACCTGGACACAGATACATTTCACTTGAGCCCAAATCTTGATGTGTGGGTACACAGGACGCTTGGTGCGGTGCATTTTCATCTCACTTAGATCCTAACTGGACATGGAGTCTTATAACAGTATATTCATCGCTTAAAACACGAAAAGGATTCGTTTTGTCCCAGCTGTGAAGGGGTCGTTGAGGATGCGAACCACGTTCTCTTCTCTTGTTTACGTTTCAACAAAGCCAGAGTAGAGATGAGTAAGGCTATTGGCGAGCCCATATGCGCGAGAAATTCAATTTTGAAGATAATAAACTTACCGCATAAATGACGAATGATATCGGGCGCTACTACGAGGATCATGACTTAACTTAAAGTGATTGAACGACTTCGTGCCAACGAACGCACCACAAGAGAGATCCCCTCTTAAGAAATTGGACAGTTACAAACTCGGGCGACATAACTAAAAATTTGAGCTGATGTTCACGGCGCCTTCTGACGTAATGCTTTACGGTAGTTTCAGGAGGGACCCTCCGTTCAGACATGAGGACATGTTTTTGGCGGATTAAAGTTACGCACTGACTTGGGCTTTCGATGCTTTTGAGTCCTCGTTACAAAAAAAAAAAAAACAGATGCATGTCAGCAATTGTAGGACAGACAAGCTTGTCAAGACATGACACGTAGACATTCGCCTACTAAATGTTATTCTCATTTTTCAGGTTATGGCTGATCTCCAGAATGTTTTTATATTAATATTTTATATGAATATAATGTGTGTTGTTATTTCTTAATAACTATATAAATATGTGGAGCTCAAACTAATACTCTATCAATTTCTAAAAATATTTCAAAATTTAGATTTTCCTCGCATTGGGCAGGAAATTTAAAAATAATTTCTTGCAATTTAAAAGAAATTAAATATTTAATTTTCCCCCCAAAACACAGATACTCGTATTTTTTTTTTTTGTTTTTTTTTTTTGAGTGTTTTAGTGTCTTTCAGTAATTACAAAAATTTGAATTATCCGCTTTGTACGCGATATGCAAACAAATTAATTTGGAAATACGTGGTTTGTAACCGCAGCGAACTTTTCTTCGTCTTCTCCCGGACGTCATCGCTCTACGCAGCAATCTATTTGCTTTTAATGAACTTATTTTTACAGCTTCCCGTGTAGACAACAATACTCGCTCCTTCATTAAAGAAGTGTCCCCTTCACAGTCACATCTTAAAAAACACAAAGTGGAACGAACAGAAACATCTGCACAAAACACAAAAAAAAAAACACAAAAAAAAAAAACTTTTCAAAACAAAGTGAACTGCTTTCCGTCCCTATCACCACCACTGCACACGCAACTTGCACACCTAAACACTTTAATTTTGCGCTTTTCGTTGTTCTTTTCTTTGTTGTTGTTGTTTTTGTAGTTTTTGTTGTCTTTGTTGTTTTTGTTTTAATTGTCAGCTCAGCGCTTTTTACTTTTCTTAATCCGCACGCCTTGCCTTTCAACAACATTACAACACTATTCTCAGTGTACTTACGCGGCATCGTCTTGGCTGCTGTTCATCTTCGCATGCTACTAATACTCCTCGTATTGGAATTACTCGAACTCTTCCTCTTCTTCCCTTCGCACTCCTGTGTGATTGTGACGCGTGTCACTTTTGAATTTTCTGTCATCGAAACTTGTGTTGTTGTAAGGCGTATTGGAATTCATGCAATTCTGTGACTGATCAGCTTCCTCGTAAATTCTAGCAAATGACAGACAGCACTGCTCTTTCGACCAACGTTGTTAAGTTGTCGGGCTTATGTGACTCGGATGCGTTACGCGCTTTGGTGTCGAAGTTTAATTTATTTCTTTTAACAACACTTTTTTTTATTATTTTTTTTAATTTTTCTTTTTTTTCGGATATATTAACGCCACTGTTTTTCTTGTTATTGTTGTTGTTGTGAGTTTTTATATTGTAATTGAGCAATTTGAGGAATGTTAAGACATTTCGTCAGCGTGACTTGATTAATTTCTTGTTTATTTTAATTAGTTTGGAAGTGTGCAATATTTCTTCTTACTTCTTACGAGTACTACTTGAAAACAATTTCTTTGTTTGACATGAACACTTCTTTGTCTTTCCACGCAAAAAGAAAATAAATCTTTTTAAGTAAATTATATATAATATATAAAGAACTATTTCAGATTTTGAAGATGTGTAGTATTTCGTAATATTTAATAATTACTATAATAAATATAGACCACAATAAGCCCCGAGGTCGCAGTACAATATTCCCTCATTATAAAAATAATAATAGTAAATATGATAAACTAATACAGCGGTAACAGCATCTCAAACGCCTTTTAAGAGGTCTTGCAACTGACACAAAAAACTAAACATAATAACTAAATATAAACTAAACACTATAATAAATAAAGATCATAATAGATCCTAAGACCGCGGCGCAATAACCCCTTATTATAAAAATAAAAAAATTAAAATTTGCTATACTAACTAGAACGATACCATAGACGTTAGATAGTATTTAAAGGTCTTGCAACTGACACAGATAACTAAATACTATAATAAAATATGAAATAAATAATTATGGTCTATAAGTTCGGAATGTAATAGGAATAGCAAAAAAATATAATGAGTTGATATACTAACACAGCGGTACCATTGACTTGACTCTTAAATACCATTGATTCTTTCAAGGTATGCAAATGAGAGAATAATACTATAATTAAATATGCATAAATGCTATAAACTTAAGGTCACAATGACCTTAGGTCGGGATCCCCTTATAGTAAAAAAATAATGAGTCGATATACTGCTACAAGGTACGAAAGACTCAACTCTTAAGATATTACAACTGACACAAAGAACTAAATACTTAGTTTAAATATGAAATAAATAAACTAAATATTAAATAAATACTATATTAAATATAAGACACAATAGATCTTAATGTCGGAATGCAATGTCCGGTTGAAATAAAAACAATAACGATAAGTTTGTCATACTAACTACAGTGCTACCAATGACTCAAACTCTTGCAACTAAGACCTCCTACGAATTCTCTAGCATATTTAATTTATGTTACATAAACATACATTGGACAAAGACTGCAATTTCTTTCTTTTTTTTACAGCTACAATAAGAGTCATTAAAAGAAATATACAAACTTCTATTAAGGTTGGATACATGAGTAAACTATCTTTAAAACTGATTCACACCATAAAACTTTCAATTTATATTTGATATAATTTTTAACCAAGCACAGTAACTTTCTATTCATCATCATCATCACCAGCGTTACAGCTCTGGGTGAGCTTTAGCTGCATCAACCAGCTTTCTCCATTCTGGTTTGCATGATGTTTTAGATCTTCAGCTTTGGATATCCATTTTCCTGATGTCTTCAATCACGTTGTCGAGCCATCTTATGCGTGGCCTACCTCTGCTGCGGTCATTATACGGCGTGAAATGGAGTATTCGCTTTTGTGGTCTATCGTCCGGCATTCTCATGACGTGCCCTAACCATC